AGTTCAAAGTAAACCGGTAGGAATAATCTGAACCCACCAAAGTTGTCTATGGTCACTAAATGCGTCTTGTAGCAATATTTAAACCCACAGAAACAGGTTCATGACAATGTTTGTTTATATCATTGTCCATTTTGTTCTGTTAGATTATTGTTTTATCCTTAAATGTTTTTTCAACTAGCACAGACTTATTCAGGCATTTGCTTTGTAAACTTACCCGTTATTAACATATTTTTAAGCTGTGTTTTCGTGCTTATTTTTCTACGTCTATTATTTTACAATGAAAATAAAAAGTTGAAAACATAAAAGTTGGTATGTTAACCAAAATGTCCCATTTTTACTGAACTTTGACAAAAGCTTATTTTCAGAAAATATTCTACACTTCTTACTGAAAATGGTGTTTTGTTTTTTCTCTACATTTATATCTACGATTAATTCTATTTTTACTTAGAGTGGTTATTACATCTATAATCAGACCATAAAATTACCTCTCAAATACGACGAGTATGATGTTTTTGCTGCAAATAAATAAAAAAAGTTAAGGGTTTGAACCTTTACAGCCTTCAAAGTTTTGTTGAGCGATTCTATTCACTTACCCTTTTAATAAAGCGGTGATTCTGTAAGCTCATGTCATACATTCATGCTCTCATGATTGTTATCTAAAAAGTAACGTGAACGAAGCAAAAAATATCCATCAGTTTTGAAATCAAAGAAAATTAAATTTGAAGGATATTTGACCGAATAAAGAGAAAAACGATAACAAAATATCACTTCCTGAAAGATAAAACCGTTACTTAATAAACAGAAACACCTGTTTACTATCATTTGCATGTTTAAGGAACTCAATCTGTCATGTTTTAATCTAAATATCTCACTGAGAACATCATTCGTAAATTGATGAATGATTTGTAAATTCACATGCCTATTAAATATTTTCGCAGATATGTATGCTTCATAAAATGCAGTATGCCTCGTTTAGAAAAATGGTCTAAGTTTTTAGTGATTATACTGACTACATTTACATCTTGGTTCATGAACAACAATCAGTTATGTGTTACACAACAGATTCAGATTTAGCGACTCAGTTAGTTTTTACTGAGCATAAAAATTAGGAGTAAATGAAGGTTACTGATTATAAGAAAATTCATTCCTAGCGCAAAGTATCTAGCTTTTATGATGCAATCAGGTAAATCCCTAAATATTTTGTGACCAAAATTTGTGAGGCGCAGTGTATGCCTTAATGATGAGAGTTTATTCTTGCATCTGCCATAAAGACAAATAATGACCATTTATTAGGCTTAACAAGGTTATGGATTTTTAGCCTCAGAGGTATTACATTAATAGGAGCATATATCAGTCATCTTACTTAATCTATTATCTGTGAACTCAGTCAGTTATTACTAAAGTAGAGCGTGGGGCAAATGTACGTTGGCTAAATTTTACCATACCAAACAAGCACGACGTGATGAGATTAACACGATGAATTCTAAAAGATCTAAAGCAAACTAATTGTTGATATTGAGCAGCATGAAACATTGATATGTTTTAATGAAGCAGAAAAAGAGCTATGTTGGTTTTTTGAGTGAATCGGCCTATTTGAACTAATCATTAGTAACCAGCGAATTCTGTAAGTCTGTTTTACCCTAGGGTGGAACGAATTTTCTATCTTCTTTTATAACTGTTTTCAACTAAAACCTTCAGTGCACAAATTGTTTATTTTACTACAGCCTTTTACTATCTTAAACCTATAATAGAGTTGTATCTAATTTGGGACCAACTACTATTAAAGGCAGAACTACAGGCACAAAAGACATTAACAAGCCCATTTCAAAAGATATAAATTCATGTGATTTGCTTTCAAAATTTAAAAATGTATAACTAAATTCAACTTCAAAAATGTGTTTTCATATAGAATGATTGAAAAAAATATACATTAGAAATTTGATAAGAGCAATATCCATATATATCTTGCACTTCGACAGTGTTATATAGTAGTTATTTATTTATAAACTAAGTACTAAATTGTAGATGTTTGTTATTCGGACAAACATTAGTGGGACTGAATTTTGTTTGTCATATAGAGAATTAAACGTCAACAAAAGGATTACATTACAGGTAACCACCCAAAACACTGAGTTGATTTTGCACACGAAAATAAAAATCTTAGTTAGGCTTATATTTTTTCTAGTCACCTGGGTGATAATCACACAAAAGTGTATACAAAATTCTGCAGATTGTCAACAAAATATTGAAAGTTGTTGGACATTGTATTTAAATGGCTAGAATTTATTTTTATATAACAGGGAGATACTGTCGACATATTTTATGTTGAACATGCAGAAGTGAAAGCTTAATGAGTGGTAATTTTAGAAATAATGCTGAACCGTTTCACTGATAATTAAACATTCCTATTTAGATATTATCTGTAAGACAGTTCTACAATTATAATTATCACATCAAAACTAATCTTCTTGGTGGATAATAATAGCACTTTAATAACGGTTTTTTGCTATCAGATGAAATTAATTTGATAAATTTCAGCAGGATTTACAGTTAGTCATATAATACTTCAAAGCCGTTCGAATTTTTTAAAATAGAATTACAGTAAAGTAATTTTAAAGGCAATAGTTTCTCGACACATGGTTTTGTTAGAAATAAAGGTGTTCTTTTATTAGGTCTACAACATGAGAAAGCTAGTTTTAGTGGACTTTTCTATTAATTTATAGCAACAAAATTCCGATTATATTTATGATCCCACTAATTGGCATGTTTAGGCATGAGGTTTTACTGTTCGTTGGTTGTTTCCATGCAATTCATGTTTGTGAAGTGGCTGGTGAAGCGAGATGTGTTTTAAATACAACATGTTGCCTGAGAAGTGTAGCTGCTGAAGAGCAAATTTATGCTTGTTCATAAATTATTTGTACTTCTAGATAGGACCTTTTGAATCATAACAAATAGTTTATATAGAAATGTTCAAATCTCTATAAATACTGTGAACACAAAGCTTCAGTCTGTGCTCGATTTTGAACACTAAATTTCAGTGTAGACCTAAGCAAAACATTAAATAATAAGTAGATTTTTTAAGTCTCACTTTGCTGTTAACCAATAACAGCAAGTCTAACTGACTATATATGTATCCAAATTTTACAATTTTGTTCTTAGTCTTCCTTCCTTGGCTAGATCAAATGAGAGGCGTAGCGGAGATATCTTAAGTTAAAAATGACGAACGGAATGAAATTTATTTATGTTTGTATCTTCACTTTGTTGATATTAAAGAAAGTGACCGATTGGTATCTTCAGACATACGTACATCTTTAGGAGATTACCCTGATATTACTGATCAGTCATAATTTTTAATAACCGTTAGATAGACATAAATCCCTTAAAATAAAATCACTGCCATTTACATAATCTTGTAACTGTTTGAACTACTTAATTCATTGAATAACGCAACAAGCAGTTGAGGTAAACTGTGTGTAAATATCGGCAGTAGAATCAAGGTAAATATAACTGAATATAGATCAAATAATTCAAAATTCACATCCTGAATTCTATAATTAACTAATGTTCAACTACATTAAGTTACAATTAGGATTATGGCTATCACTTTACATTAATTCCAAGTAAATATCATTCTCTTCAAAAGATTTAATCATATTTCTATTACACATAAGAATCACATTTCTTAGATGTTCTGCTTTCTTTACTTTATTTATAAATTCTATCAAATTTAATTGAGAAGATATGATTATTATGGTAAGTCTATAGAAAATAAAACAATATCTATTATTACTATTGTCAATATTTTACAAGTCTTAAGTAAATAAAAGAAGTAAATTTTTCATCTTTTGATATAATTAATATATATTCCAGAAAATAAAGTTTCAAAATCAAATATGAAGACAGGTACATCCAGCTGACGAGTCCTAAATAGGATAAAACGAGCGCCTTGGATTCCGCTACTAGCCACTGTCCGTCTTTGCTTAAAAAGCTTGTGATTTAAGGCTATATCGAGACAATCTGCACAGGATGCACATATGCCAACATGAGACTGATCAATTGCAGTCCTTAATAACAATGGGAAGATACAAGTAAAACAACACCAAGTTAATTTGAAGACAGTTTCCTTTCAATTTTAAAATTACATAATAATCAATCAAAAACTTTAGAATTACACATAAATATATTAATAGTAAATTCGTTATACGGAAATCTTGCAACAGGAGTTTATTATCAGTATTATTATCATCCTGTAAAAATAACTATATATATATGTATATTTGCGACTGTACAGTTTTGAAAATGAATTTGCTGAAAAGACAACACTTTACTGAACTAGTATTTCTTATCAAATTGATATGATTTAAAAATTTTCTTTTTAAGTTCTACCATTATCTCATATCCAAATTAATAATCCGCAGAAATGGTCAGGTTAAGAGTAAAGTACATCGTTTAAAGTATGTGAATTTAGAACCGTTAAATAAAATACAATAATATTGATATGATTCATATAGAATGTTAACTTGAATCTGCATATATATATATATATTAAGTGAGAAGTTTTAAGATCTCTAAATCAGAATAAATATAGGTCAGATAAATTGAGAGAAATAATTCGATCTAATGTTTAATGATAATTTGGAAAGCTCATTTTGAAGTAAAGTGTTTCTGTATTATTATTATTATTATGATTAATAAACTATCATTATTTCAATATTCATAATCCTGTCGTCTAACGGATAAACGATGTTTACACTCAGATCACATATAATATCTATATATAATAATGATTTAGGCATAAAATGCTTCTTCTTAACCAGTATATATCAAACACTTAATTACACATTATTAGATCAAGAAAGTTTCGTTTTTGTTATTTGCATTAAATACATTCTTATTTTCAGAATCATTTCAATCAACCATTTCATGATAAAGTTTGTATTGTTTTACATTTTTTTTTAGCTAAAAAGAAAGAATAAAAAAGTTAAGGCAATAAAAGAAAAATGGTTGAATCAAAAAGATATTCATCCTCGTCTACAGATACTGCTAGTGTTAGTGATTCACCAGAACCAAATACTCCAGCGAATAAATCACCTAACAATTCTAAGGTAAGCATATATATGTATATATATACATGATTTATTAAAAGTTCAATAATAAATAGTTAAAAAAAACAATATATACATTAGATTATTTGAATTACTTTAAGTGTTACAATGTAGCCTAATACTACAATAATAGTAACAATCATCATCATCATCCTCATAAATTTTGAAAGTGTAAATTACACACCTAATCTATTTTGATATTTCATTGAATACTTGTATCAATCATTGAAATCACTACAATTCAAATAATCTTTTTTAATATATTTCATTAACATTGAAAGTTTGATAAAGACACATAAATTGTATTCTTCTATGGATGATTATTTCTTATAATCTGAAATTAGATAGTTTTATTTACAGGTTGAAATGTTTTTATTTCACCATGGATACACTAAAAAAAATGTTTTTCTTAAATAATATTTTAAAATAAAATGTATACTTTGAAGTTAGAATTTTGAAAGATAAACCATTCAATCATATACTATTATTCATTATTGAATAGTTATTATAAGTGACTAGTATTGTAGTGAACGAGATCAACCATATATAATTTGTGAAATCTGAGAACCATACAATAACAATTCTTTATTTACAAAATGTCAATCAATCATTTCAGATTTCTTTGTCCCTTCATTTCCAAACGAATTATTCCCTGTTCTCATTTTCTTTTCTTCAATCTTCTTAATTTTGTGGCGCTATGTATTATACTTTTGATTATTGATACATACTACTTATAGTTGTTGACATCAGTAGTATACACTACAGTATGTGTTCAATGAATCATTAGAATTTTAATTTACATGAATAAATCCAGTTTATGATAAAGCAGTATAAATAAAACCATCTATTTTTTGTGTGCATATTTAGGTTTGAGTATGTTCATGTTTATAAAGCACACTAAGCTTAATAAAATAATATCATTACTGAATTTCTTAATGAATGTTAGAAATAAAATCCGTTTACTTGGCTACTTTTTTAATAAATAAAAGCGTTATATTAGAATATATTACGAAACTACGGTCTTATCTGTATATCTATCTATCTACCCATTTATCTATCTATCTATCTATCTATCTATCTATCTATCTATCTATCTATCTATCTATCTATCTATCTATCTATCTATCTATCTATCTATCTATCTATCTATCTAACTATCTATCTATCTATCTATCTATCTATCTATCTATCTATCTATCTATCTATCTATCTATCTATCTATCTATCTATCTATCTATCTATCTATCTATCTATCTATCTATCTAACTATCTATCTATCTATCTATCTATCTATCTATCTATCTATCTATCTAACTATCTATCTATCTATCTATCTGTATATATGGTATTTTACCTTCATTAAATTGTATGCACGGAATTAAATTTTCCCGGTATAATGTCAGAAAATACAGTCATACGTTATTCTTAGCATTTTTTTTAAAAAGTGTAAACATAAATAACATGGACTGTAATTTTTTTCTTTAAGGATTTTTACCTTAAATATTCTAGAAGTGAAATTTCTATCTACAATCAATGGAGTCAGGAATTTTTCCTATTTTTGTTCTGGAGTGGTCTCTGACGGGCACTACACATATTTTGACTACATAGAATCCTAGTATAGACATAAGTTTCCATATTATCAAAATATTGAAAATACTTTAAATAAAATGTAATAATACCCTATAATTTATCAACTGATTTGAGGCTTACATTTATCTAGTCTACAAACGAATAGTCAGTCAGTCAGTCAGTAACAACGTAGAACTTCGTACATATGTACATCAGTTCGAGTTGCCACACCACATTAGCACAGAGATGCACTTGTCGATTCAAATCCCGTAGTGGTAGAGGTAATAAGAGTATAAGCAGTAATCGGGAAGATTAGGGTTTGGAGATGTTATTTAAAGAGTATAATCCAGTGAAATAAATTTGGAAAGAGGAAAAAAGGGACATGAAGGATTCAGAAGATTAGAATTTGGGAGAACACAGAGAGCGGATGCACCTGCGCCGTTGCAAACGATTTTGAGCCATGTCATTCAGGGTCTCTAACCATCGGTTGCTATCATCTCGCGGTCCCCAACCAGGTAGTCTACACCTACCAACATGGCTCAGTTCACTTGTCAGTGACTTCATCGATTTGTGCCATGTTTTGGTTTGGCCGCCCCTAGCTTTCTTCCAACCTACTCCTATACCACTGAACATAGCACGTCGAGGCAGTCGGTCGTTGGGCATACGTAACACGTGTCCAAGCCATCTCAACTGATGAAGTTTCACTACTTCATCAATTGATTTGCCATCCTTACCTAGTACCCGTTTCCTAACAACTGTGTTACTTACTCGATGGTCCCATGATATACGAGCAATGTTTCGAAGACACCCATGATCAAATACTAGTAACCTACGAATATCCTCTACTCTTACCGGCCATGTTTCACTGCCATGAAGTAGGATAGAACGAACTGCTGCGCAGTAAACACGTCCTTTGGTTGATAGACGGATATCTCGCCTACGCCATAAATGACGCAAGTTGGCGAAAGCTAGTCGAGCCTTCTGTATCCGTGCTGAGTTTTCGTCACACACCAGACCACAAGGGCTGATGAGACTTCCAAGATAAGTGAAGCGATCGACACGCTCAACTACCTCACTCCCTATCACTAGTTCGGGTGTCGATGTAACCCAATCCTGAAGCAACATTTTGCATTTCGAGGGAGAGAATCGCATCCCGAACATGCTTGCATTGTTGCTTAGAGTGGTCAGAAGACTCTGCATTTTATCAGCGTCTTCACCAAATAAAACTATGTCATCTGCATATTCTAAGTCAACAAGTGAACCTCCCGGTAGAAGTTCAATCCCTGTAAATTTAGATGAGGAGAGTGTTATCTCTAAAAGTACGTCGACCACAAAGTTGAACAAGAATGGGGAGAGTGGACATTTTGATCAATAAATTTTATAGACAAACTAAATGATATGAATAGTTTCCATAACATTCAACGAAAATAGTGAATTAAGCAATGCTGGATATCTAAATCATCATGCTCCGACACTATTTTATTAATACACTGTACAATGCGACACTTGAAGCTCGAAAGTTCAATCTTATACAAGGTTATAAATACATACTCGTTAAGAAACCATACTTACAATGAAACAGTAATTCATTGCTATATACTTTACAATTCTTCATTGTTTGATACCAATTAATGACAAAAACTACTGTCAAATTAAACTAATTTTTTTCAAATTACTTAACTAATCAAAATATTTTTATATTATCTATATAGTTCCATCTAATCAGTAGAAAGTTTCATAATCTTTTATATAATCATTTTTAAACATGAGTATTACTTTTTTCTATTTGTTCCAGATAATAAAAGTTAATCACACTATATTTTACAGACAAATATAAACTTTTAACTTAAAATTCCATAAAATTTACATAACATTTAAGTGTAATTGTTTTAACGTGACAAAAATATGATCAAGGAAATAATGGAACACTATTTATGTCTAATCAAATCTTATGACCTATATTTCTTTTTGTCATATCCTAATAAGTAGAAAATTAATATTTTTCCGATATTTCGTGACGTTATGTAAGTCACTTCTTCAAAGTAAACAAATAATCTAACGTTTAATCTATTTGAAAGTATAATGTTCAACGTTGACATTGATACTTACAAATTATTAATAGTTGAAATCATGAGTCGATTAAAACTAGATCATCATGAAAAACCTGGAAGCACTGGACGAACGTTTTGTTTTATTGTGAGACACCTCGGTAGTACGCATCCACAATACCGCCCCTGCGAGATTCGAATCCAGGACCTATCAGTCTCGCGCGCGAGCGCTGAACCATTAGACCACTGGATCGGCATCCAACGGTATTAGTGTCTAACTTCAACCAATTCACGAGAGCTAGACCACCATGGAAAACCTTGAAATGTAACATTGGATGACGGCTCAGTGGTTTACTGGCTAAGCGCTCGTGCGCGAGACTGTTAGGTCTTGGTTTCAAATCTCGCGGGGGTCGGATCGTGGATGCGTACTGCTGAGGAGTCCCATACTGGGACGAAATGACTGTCCAGTACTTTCAGCTTTTTCATGGTGATCTAGCTTCAATCGACTCATGATTTCAATTATTTAAATTACTAAAATCTCCACAAAACCCCTTCTGATACTTACAAATTATGTCTATTGTATTTTTGTTTATATAAATGACTAGGTACTTCATTCCATTGATTAACTGTGTATAACTTCTCAATTTATTATAACTGTAATGATAAATAGTTTACAGAATTCATCTTCATTGATACTTCAGTTTGTTATTTCTGAAGGTGTTTTCGATTATACTGAAAGTTGATATTTTGTTAACTATGTGTGATCATCAGAAGTATTCGAATCAAGATATCAACTAGGAATTCAAAGAACTGTTCAATTTAAGTCAGAGATAACTTTGTGAGCACAGTTGAATATATTGTTTTTTTTTTAGAAATTCGAAATAATGCACAAACAAATGATCAGTCAGCATTAACACCATAAGATTCTGTAGTTGTTGACAATAGTACTATGAGAGAACTTAAAAATTTCAATATTTCTGATTTACAACAAATTTTTTTTGTTTCATCTTATCCTTGTCAGGTTATTATTTGATATGATCTCAGTGGTAGAAGAGAAAATAATTTACAACGATTTAACTAAGGCTAAGAAATTTATTTTATAATGTTTTAACTGTATTCAATATCATGTTTCCCTATGAAACAATAAACAAAAGTTCAACCTATAAATTTTAAACGTTTTATTATCATTCGCGAATAATTTTTTTTGTTAACCGATAAACAAGTGATAATTACAAGATGATAGCTGGTTATTTCATATTGTATACTTAGTCATTTGACTAGTGATATTATATATGTAAACGCATTGAACTAAAATTCAGAAGTCTATTCTGTTAGTAACCTATCTATTTATTTAGCTAACTGATTATTATGTTTCATTCATCA